GTCCACATACCGTACCATAGGCGGTCTAGAGACGATCCTGCTACTAATGCCGGCACATTTTTATGCCCGGCGCTCGAGATGTCCCCGACTGTCAACAAATCTAGACAATCACGATCATGCGAGTCACATCATCATCGCCCTTTCCCCTGTTTGTGTCTTTCTCCGCGATTGTCAGACTGCTCGACAGGTTGGCACAAACCACGATCGACCGCTCCGTTCCGGCGAGGGGCTCACCCACCTGATGCATGCTTGCTCGACTACGGGACTGCTGGATGTGCAGACAAGGATTTGCGCAAGGTTACGGACTGGTGATGATCGCCGCTTTTTCTTCATAGGCATATGATTTCTAGGTGGTGGTCTGTGGTGAGTTGCTCCGCGGGCCTCAATGCTGGGTGTCGACATGCGCACGCTAGTCGGTGCTGGAGGGTACTTTACATGTAACCGAACGTTGTAATGATATTGAGGCGTGCGGCAAGGCATTCGGGAGGGGGATGTCTTTTTGCCATTCACAGAGCGTTGGAGGCGTTAGAGTTTGGATCCAGGGTTCGGCTATGGACTTTAGTCGGCTCCTAGTGATTTGGGGGGAGATACTACGTCTCTTTTGCCCGGTATCACCCTATTTTGATATTTACCGATCTATCCGGTGGGATAGCAAACTACATAACTCGTATGATGGGGAAAAAGAATTCGCATGTGGTAAGGGAAGCAAAAGGTTGTGCGTGTGCGCACGCATATTCCAAACTCTGTTACTACTCTGCAGGATCGGCGCCTTTTTGACCGGTATTACAGAGTTCACACCAGCATCCAGCAACAACCCAGCAGTTTAGAAAAGAGACGTGCGGGAAAAGGAGGCACCTGCACTGGTTAACATACGTTACCACGACCAGGACAACGGAATTAGCGAGTGCCGCGAGGTGCCAAACTTCCAAAGCAAAGCCGTGTGTAGAAAAGTGTAAATCTCTCCTTGGACGCTTACTAAATGTACAGCTAACGGTAGACGTTTATCGGATAAAGGGAACAAAGTTCAAAAGTGATCGGTCGATGAACACCTTCCGCGACTCAACTGCCGTCGCGCTAAGTTGGTGCATTTGGCCCTTCAGCTGTTCCTCGTATTTCCTCTATGTCCCCTATCAACACAGTATAGCTGTTGTAATAGTAGAGATAATCGTTGTAATAGTAGAATCGTAGTAAGCAAACCCCCCATACTATCTATCTACCTAGTATACATGTACACATTTCACGTACATACATACATACATGCATACATACACATCTATCCAATTTACCTACCCGCAACAAACCTTACCCCTATATCCAGCGCGGCCTCCCCCAACTCCTCACCCGGCCGCATCCACTCCCACCATTCTTCTTTCATCCCGCATGCACACACCCGCACCCCGAAACCTTTCCAACCGACTGTGTACACTTCCCCCCCACGCTCGCATACATCGGAGATTTTTTTTTATAAAAAAAGCAAAAGGCTCAAACCTTCCCAAACCTCAAAGAACGCACAGGAATACCTCCGCACCGTGAGTCCATTGTTACAATCGGCGATCTGGGGGAAGGGGTGGGGGGAAGAGGCCCGAACCAGCCCCGTACTGCATATACCACACATCCCGGCATTTCCCTCTGCGCCCTTAGTTTTTGTCAACGAAAAGTCTATTTCCTAGCTTGGCCTTGTTTTCATCCTTGCGACGTTTTTTGTTGTTTTTCCTGTCTTCGGCGACTGCGGGATTTCGGACCTCGCGGCGGCGGCGGCGGCGGTGTTTGATCGGGGGAGGGGTGTGTCGCAGAGTCCGAAAAATATCGCGGAGGAAGAAAGGGGGGAGGGAGGGAGGGGAATACGAAGATGTGGATGATGATGATGGTGGTTGTGGTGGTTGTGTTAAGGGTCAACGGGAACGGGAACGGGAATGATGAATGGACCCTTGGAGACCCTGCAGGAAGGGAAAAAAAGGACCCTGAAGAGACCCTTTTCTCGTTCTTCACTTGTTATCTCGCAATCGTTTGACCCTTTTTTTGCGTGGACTTTTGGTACGCGTTTACCCTTTCGTCCACCCAATTTTTCATTGCAATCTCGATCGAGATCGAGATCGAGATTCGAAATGGGAGGCCTTGATTATCTTATTGTTTGTTTACGGTTTTAAAGTTTGGTACTTATGGGGGATTGTAATTTAGTGTGTGGGAAAATTAGAGTGTAGAGGTAGTAGGGCTTAGGAAGCACAGACTGTGTGGAACGTCTAAGAAGTGGGGGGAGGGAAAATCTGTGAGATTTACTTTCAATTTTTGCAGTGTCTTCTGAATGCTTTTTTTGTTTTTCCCTACTCTAGACTGATCGGTATTTCTGGAAATTTTGGATTGCGGTGGCTGCAGCATGGGCAAAAGGTTAATGGGGGCATAGCCCCAAGTGGTGGGACATGGCATTGTGCGGGGGTATCCTGCCTGGTGTCGTGACCTCAGAAAGGGAGAGGCCAAAGTACAAATGTCGAATGTAGTCACATGCATTGGTACCCTGTCTCGAGATACCGTATTCGGTGCCTCGCTGTCGAAAGTAGTAATCACTTGAGAGCATTGACGTCGGACACCGATTGTATTCTCTACGCCTCGCATCGAGTCCTCACCACCACCTCCGTTTACGGCCGTACATTAGTATCATCCTTAGCAACGACTACAACTAAAACCCTTCCTCCTCCAGCTATATCAACGACCCACATGGAATGATTTGCGCTTGAAGCGTCCTGTGTTCCTTACCGTGCCTTGCGCGGCAATGCAAAACACGCTTGCGTGCATACTAACCCCCAGAGCGCGGCCCGAAAGGCAACTTTAATCACCTCGCCTCGAGTGGGGAATAGGAGGGGGGATGGGGTGGACATGACATCCTTGCATGCAGCTACCCAACGACAATACAAGAAAAAAGCGACGCAAGATATATCCCCGACTGACCATCTAGTTGGAAAACCCTGAAAAAGTATGATCCAGATGGATTGGGGACCCTGGCCTTCCGATGCCTCTTTAGGAGAGGGATTGGCGCGTCGTTAGGGAGTATGCGGGCTAGCTCAAGTCATGATAACTTGCCTCACCCCACTTTATCTCTAGGAATCTTGATGTTATAGTAATAGTAACTTGGTTGTATGCATGCAATGTGATGAACATGCACAACGGCCCGAAAAGAGCTGCACAGGGTCTTGCAGCATGTACATACTTGACTGTTACTAGTTCTTTACATTAATCATCGTCGTCCAGGAAGGTGACGCGTTCATCTGGGTTAGAATGTAAGGCTAGGGTCTTTATCGGCGTTCACTTTCGTATCTGCATGCTTACTGGGTTCACTCGTTTGCGAGACATGGGGTGTTTGTAGTAGAGGCGGACAGAAACGGAATGGAGGAGTGGCTGCGCGAGTGGGGCGGCGAGTGGAGATTGTAGTTTGCTGGTGTGACGATAGGAAGAGAAGGCAACGCGAGATGTTGGGATTATGGGATTTGCCTTGCAGCAAGTGTAAAGTGAGTGTGTCGGATGCTCTGGTGGCGAATTAGGATAGGCCAAGGCTAGTAGGGAGTACAACCCATGTACATACATTTATGGTGCGAGAGATCGTACGATGACCGAACCCCAAGACCGAATGCAGTAATTGGAGTAAAGAGGTTGCAAGGGATATATCAAAAGGAGGGGTTGGAATGAAGCTGCAATATCGAAATGGCGTGGTGATGGCGAAGACATTATTGTATCATTTGATCTCCACAACAAGGTCGTAAGGGAAAGGAAATGGAAGATCCATCGCCAGTTGTTGCCGTTCAACCGGATTGTTCCGATGAACCTGCCGATGAACCATGGGTCTTTGGTAATGGTAGTTTCTCATCGAGTCGTTTTGGAGAACGGAACGAACTTGGTGATATCAGCAACATGATGGGGAAATATCTTTACCTAGACAAGATCGTAATGCATCACAGGCTACTGTTGCTCTTGAATTGATAAATCTATTAGGTATCTTGAATAAATTGAGCAATCCTTATAATTAAAATGTTTTTTTTTGAACTTTATTGAACACGAACAGTTACTCTTGGGCAAGGTAGAGACACACCAGTGGCATCACTTTTTCGCTATTTTTCGTCTGAAAGTGCACCCCGTGATACAGCAAACGAAGTTCTCATCTTGAAGAAGTGGACATAGGACATGCTGCAACAAAATCAGTTTCGGTGTCTGAAAATAATAGATAACATGTGTGGCTTTGACGAGAAAAGACATTGGATACAACGAGATATGAGAAGCACTCGGGAGATAGTAGATTGAGCAAGATTTCATATGAACAGTTACAATTTACTGTTTTCTTCAGGCAAGAACTGCGACCAATACTCTGATTTCGTCTCCTGATTTCCCCCATTCTTATTCTTATTCTCAAGAGCCTTCTCAAATAACAAAGCCTCCTTTCTCTTCCTCTTCTCTTCTCTCTCTTCGTGCAGCTTTCTCTTTGCTGCTTTTCTGTCCGCCTTCTTCTTCGCCTTCTTCTCCGTCCTTTCCTTTATCTTCTGGCTGGCCTTCTCTCTTGTCGCTTGCTGCGTACCACCAGCGAATAATAGTTTAAGCTGCACATGTCTGATAACGCCTGGAAGCTCTGGCTGGTAATAACGGGTTGTGAGATCCGGGTCAGAAAGTAAGCGTGTAGTTTGCACATAGAGTTTCTGGAGAGCGGATGTGAGCGGTGTGTCAGGATGGTACGGGAAAGACGCAAAAAGATCCTTTCGATCAGAATCAGCAAGCGGTCGGTAACTGAGTCTTGGTACTTTTGTTTCTTTTTCGCCATCTTCGGCTTGGTTGGTGGTTTGTTCGATCTCTGGCACTTGATTTTGCTCACTTGCTTCTTTTTCTTCTTGTTTTTGATACTCATCTTCCTCAAATAGATGAGACGAGCTTTGTCCTCTATTTTCAAGGACAAACGCTAGACCGAGAGAGTGCCGACCGTTGCTGTTGTAAACAGTGCCAACTTCAGATGTCTCATCAACGTTGTCGGTCCAGAAAATTTCCCCCTCAAACAGTCTCTTAGCTGTCCGATACACGGTACCGGTAACTGGAATGAGCTTGTCCGTTTCGTCCATGGTGGCATTGACTTGCAATCGCCCACTGCCATGGCCAATGGTGATCGCACCCTTCATCAAAGGGTCAGGGGCTAGCATCTGCTCAACAATGGTCCCAGGTATACGAGCAGCGACTGCTGTTGTCAATGCTGCAGTCAATGGAATAGCCCGATGGGGTTGCGTGTCTGAGAGGAAACGGATGACAATGTCCATTTGTGATGACAGAAGTGTTTTTCCGGATAGTACAGGGTGAGTGGATGACTGCGACACAAGGCCGATCTTGGGAATAGTACGGGGTACCTCTTCTTGTGTTGCTGCAATTCCCATTGCCACTGCTGCGGCCTTTCGTATGTTTTCGAGTAATGCGAGCTTGTCCGGAAGCCTGTTGAAGTCGTTGGGAAGGATCGTACCATCTACGCCAACATCGTCTGCGCGGATGAAGACTGCCGGATTTGCTCCATCTACGCAGGATACTTTATAGCCTGCGATGTTGTCTATCCGTTTGCCCGTAGGAAGCACTTTACCGGTCTTACTGCCATATGGGTGTTTGAAGTCAAGTTTGATCTTTGAACCGTTTCCAGTCACCCCATCAATGCTATAATCTCCCACAACGGTAGCCTGGGCCCCGAGAACCGTAAAGGTAGAGTTTATCAACTTGCCGGTATTGGTATTCCGGATTCTGACTGTAACCTCTCCGTCACCCTGCGCATAGATTCGAGGCGGAAGGAGGCCTGCATTGTATGCATAGGGACCGATGGCGCTACTCATGTTCCCACAATTGCCTGCAACGTCGACTTCATTGTTCTCAATGCCTAGACCAACGAAAGTATAGTCAACGTCTACTTCTTGGTCATCAGCATTTTTTCGTGCTTCCTCTTGAGCCTGTATCTCCCGAGCGGTTTCTCGAGCTACATCTATGCCACCGTACCCTGTACGAAAGCGAGTTGCAGTGACACCAGGAGCAATCCTTTTTCCATAGGGCTCGACTAGACATATCTTGCTCAAACTCGATATGCCCGCACCCATACCGTCGAGTTGTCGTCCATAGGAATCACCACTTCCCATGATCTGGCGGAAGATGGTCGGCCATTTTGCGCGCTCTTTGGGGAGATGCTGAGGTTGGATCATGACTGCCCGCGATGTCCCTCCTCGGTAATAGGCAGCCTTGATAGGCTTCTGCACCGATGCAAAGGGAGTCGCATCATGTCGAGACACGAAAGTGCGTATGCGGAGGGAGTATATTGGCGAAGAACGCATTACGCATCACGCATCATGGAACTGAGCCCTGAAGAGAATCAAGTCAGAAGTCTCAAGGTAAGCAGATCAAAGGCGAATATTCGGGATCCGACCTCGGGATGGTAAGACTGGACCCTGTTCGGGTGGGTGCACTGGGCAATCCCGTCACAGCTCCGAAATTTTCTCGAAGACGATCAACATCATTGCATCCCACATCCTACATACCTACTTTTTCTTGCCGCACAATCATCTCGCTGCATCCTCGTAGATTTCAGATATCAACATACAACATGCTGCAAAGAACCATACTCCGCGCCTCGAGGCAACAGGCTGCCCGCCAAATACGGGCTTTTGCGCCACTACGTCAACAGTCCCCCATCACACGAGCAGTCGCCGCACCCGCCATCCGATGGTACTCAGATGCCCCGCCGGCAAAGGAGGGCGAAGCAGCTGAGAAGAAGGAGGATGCGCCAGCAGAAAAGAACGAGGTACCACAATTGAAGGAGCAGCTAGAGAAGAAGGACAAGGAAATTGTCGAATTGAAGGCATGCCACAACCCATGACACAATAGAAAGAGGGGCAAACCACTAACAATGTCCAACAGGACAAATATCTCCGCTCAGTCGCCGACTTCCGTAACCTCCAAGAGCGCACCAAGCGTGAAATCCAAGGCGCAAAGGACTTTGCCATCCAGCGCTTCGCCCGCGATCTCGTCGAGTCGGTCGACAACCTCGACCGCGCCCTCGGCACCGTGCCCGAGGAGAAGCTCAAGTCGGATAACACTGATCTGATTGCCCTGCACGATGGCATCAAGATGACCGACACCATCCTTATCAACACACTCAAGAAGCACGGATTGGAGCGATTCGACCCCTCGGAGTCAGCGGAGAAGTTCGACCCCAACGTCCATGAGGCGGTGTTCCAGGCACCACAGCCAGACAAGGAGGACGGCACTTGCTTCCACACACAGCAAAAGGGCTTCAAGCTCAACGGCAGAGTACTACGACCGGCAAAGGTTGGCGTTGTAAAGAACGCCTAAGTTACAAACTCCTACACGATCTATAACGACTCAGACTCTTTTTTTTCTCGCATCTGTATGACTACCTACCTTGGCTTCGCTGCTCCAAAAAAAGAAGGCAGCGGTACATTTTGGGAAAAAAAAAGGCGTTTTTCTTCCTGTGTATGTGCCACACTCATCGGCTTACACTTGAAAATTCTCTTCTTTTTTATGGAGACAACGTGTACATATATTCCCCTCTCTCTCTCTCTCTCACACACACACGCATCTGCAAACAATTGTTTCGCACCAAAATTAACCAAATGACGTAACTTTGCGAAGTTGTGTAACTGTAATATTAGCTTATTGATGGACAATGATGATGAAAGACGAAGAAAGTCTTGAAGGAAAGAGAGAAAAGGTCAATTGACATTTGCTTTCGACCCTCTCCATAATCTGTCACATTCTGAATAAGGATTCTTTCTCTCTGTTTGTGACGACGCCCAACCTGTTTTCGAACGCCAGCCCATGCATTTGTTTTTTTTTGACCCAATCAGAGCACATCGGGTATTTCAATTTTTCTGGAATCTCCCCCAATTTCATGATACATCTACCAGCCCTGGCCGTAAGGCGTAGCACCATATGGTGTAGTGCCTCCTTGGGCCGCGCCACCCCAGGAACTGGCACCACCATAGCCTCCGGGGCCTCCGACCGGCGTGTAACCACCTGCGTCGCCGTAGCCTCCTCCATTCAACATGGGGCTCTGGGCACCACCGAAATCCTCGTGGTCTCCAATGCCACCAGATAGTTCTTTGAGGACTTCGGCGAGTTTGATTTGTAACCGTTGAATTCCCTTTGCGACAATCTGATCGGGCTCGATGCCGCCGACTGTTTCGACGTCGTAGAAGAAGCGCGTAGGCACAGCATTGTAGTTGAAGGGTTCGTCGGGGTTGGGTGGACCGCCGTCGAGATTGACACGGGCTTCGTCTTTGGGCCTGTGTGCATATCGTTAGTTTGACGCGGTCTCGTCACTCCACTCAACAAGACTATACACACCACTCCTTCTCTGCGTCTTCCTCGTGCCAGTAGTCCAGGTGGTGCAGCTTGTTTGCGGGATCGTATTCGAATCCAATCGCTGCACTGGGTGCCCACTTTGCGTGTTCCTTTGCAATGCCCTTCTTTGCAATGCACTTCATGTTGATGGCCTGACCTCTGCGCAGCTTCACGATACAACTGCCCGTCCCCTCTGAATCCGTAATCACTGGTCGTCCTAGTTCGTCATTCGGCGGCCTCGACTCGATGACCAGATCGCGCGCATACACCTTCATAACCTCACTGCCTGTGCATTTGGCATTGAGAGTGAGAACGACACTACAGTTGTCGCAGTAGCCTTCGCAGTCACAGTCGCGCGAATACAACAGGTCATCTACGCCCTTGGACGACAAGGGAATGAGACCGAGGCGGTGGCAGACAAACTCATCGGCAAGGACCGATGTGTTGTCAAACACTTCGACGACATCGATGGCGAGCGTCGGGATCTCGGCGAGCATTACACGGCGAAGTGCATTTGCGGTCTCGAGATTGAAGTTTTGGACAATGAAGTGGGCGCGCTGGTTGTCGGCCTGCGCATGGCTGTGTTAGCTCGACGTATCCGCCAAGGTAGACAGAGCGGGCGGTGTACCTGAAGGAAGCGGACGTTGATTTGGCCGCCATCTGGATCGTAGTCCATCGCGTCGTCGTGTGGGTGAGAATGGGGCTGAGGGGTCGTAGGAGTCGCAAGCGAGCCGAGGTATTGAGGCGACTGGAACGGATGAGCGACAGGTACGTGTTGGCGTGTATGGAGTGGTGCTGGCTAGGGTCGTCGTGCTATACGGAGATTCTTTGAGGTGAGCCTGGCGCGGAGAGGCGGCCTAAGCCGATTGCGGCTGAATACCCCACGCGCCACATCTGCGCCACAGATTGGTAATGGGAGGCTTCGGTTTGCGCCGATGGAGTTCGCATAGCCTAGAGTGTTCTTTGGTACTTTGTAGAGTAGTGCCATGCACGATGTTAACCACCCAAGTGTCGTATAGTAGGATGAAGAAGAAGCTTGGAAATGAAATGTAGTATTGTAATAGGTGCGCCAGTGATTCTACAGGGCTAGAAGCTAATGTTATCTTCGGCTTGCCAATGCAACAGGAGTCGATAGCATCACGAAGAAACGTGCCAGCTCAGCAAAGACGCTCAGCCTGCGGACTTCGAGACATTAGCGTGACAAGGTGCAACTTGCATCCGGCCTTGTGCGCGAGGTGCTTGCGACACCTTTTATCGAAACATACGCCGCAGGCCCAGCATGGTGAGAGTTGTCGCGTGTAAGACACTACTAGAATGCTACTATCGGCTGACAAAATCGGCGTGCACAGGACTGCCCAGGGTCATGTTGCTAGTTGAGCCAACCAGTACAATGGATTACCCTGTCAGGTTGTACGGCGCAGCGCGAGCAGTGACGTTGTTGAGTCTGCTGCCAATCAAAGACTTTATCACTTGCCGAGTTGGAAAGACATCGGCCGTTGCAGCGTGTATGCCGTGCAGTCAGTCTGAACATAGCCAAGGCGGACACTAACAGCAGGCGTGTTGCTTCAGTGCTGTGCAGATATCAATATGTGGACCAAAGGCGATGCTGCTAGAGTTTGCCTTCGTCCGGTTGGGGGCGGAGTTGAAGGCGAGTGTGCAACAACGAGGCTGAGGCCCTCTCCTTTTCTTTGCGCACCGTGATGTTGTCCGCTGAGTCTCCATGAAAGACGCGTCTCCGAGGCCCGTGACCCCTCACTACGCAACGTGTTGAGAAGGAGAGTATGGGGGGGGCAGTGCAGTGGTGCCCAGTCCTGGCAATGGTAGCGGGTATGGTGACGGCCGAATTCTAGGCTTGGCGATATTGAGGCGGAGCAACGCTTGCTGCTGGCATGCCGAAGCTGGAACCACTCGCCGTCAGAGGGCAATGTTTGATATAAGACGCACTCTGTCACAACATTGCTCTCCAACTCACCATAGCTATTCAACCCACCAGACATTCACAACATATCCCCTACTTTAACATCCATGATATCAAGCATGCAGGCTACCATACCATCGCCACAGCGCTCTCGCGCATCATCACGAAGCAAGTCACCGCTCTCTATCGACCTGTCAGACTTGCCACCACTAGTCGAACCATCACCACCCTCAAACACTCTCATCATCACCGTAAGCAATGTATCGAACGAGTTGCAGCTACAGTACTAACAAGGCCTAGAATCTTTTGGCACCCGAAATCTTCCAACTATCTACTCTTACCGAGATCCGCGAAACAATCAACCAACATGCGAAGGTGCACACATGGGCGCCACTCAAATCTTTCCGTCGCATAGTGGTTTCCTTCTTCGATACCGACTCTGCGATACAAGTTCGCCAGGCTCTTGACGGTGAGCAGCTCATGGGCTTCCGTATCCGCGTATACTTTGGCGTGAACACACCCATGAACCCCTCAGACCAGCACCTGGCACTGCCCAAGTCGGATCGACTCTTCTTCATCTCACCACCACCATCACCGCCTATGGGCTGGGAAACAAAGGAAGAGGATGCACCCAACACAATCGTCCACCCAGAGGATCTGGCAGCAGCACTAGCCAAGCTCCATGCAAACCCCGAGGCCTCGTCACCTACTGATAACGGAAGCAACATCATCACCAGGAGGCGGACAGGCAGTACAACTGTAGTCTACCACCCGGAGGACCACGGCGACTCGCCTAACCTTCCTGCCATATCCGTCGAAGACACAACCGAGACGCCTGAGGCTTTGACGCCCCTCGATGCAATGGAGGGAGTCGAAGGACCTATTGCTTCGCAAAAAGCTCAAGGCATGACTACCAGCACCGCCAGGCCACCAGTCGAGCTCATGCACTGAGCCCTTGTGTCACTGTTTTTCGGTCTTTTCCTTTCCCTTCTTTTTTATGTGTTATCAAAAAAGCATTACATGTGCATGATTTCAAGGTATGGCACGGCTTTG